TGCAGTGGCGCAATCTCAGCTCATCACAACCTCTGCCTCCTAGTTCAAGTGATTCTCCTGCCTTAGCCTCCTGAGAGCTGGGACTACAGGCATGAGCCACCACGCCCGGCTAATTTTGTATTTTTAGTAGAGACAGGGTTTCTCCATGTTGGTCAGGCTGGTCTTGAACTCTCAACCTCAGGTGACCCACCCACCTCAGCCTCCCAAAATGCTGGGATTACAGGTGTGAACCACTGTCCCTGGCCCAATACGTATTTTAAAATGAACATCATATTACAGAATACCACAGACAGAAAAGCACACGATGAATTTTCATGATGTGACTCCGTGTACCCAGCAGGACGTTCCCAGCTCCCAGGATCACCCAGTGTGGCCCACCTCCGTGACCATCCCTTCTCCAACACCAGACTCCCCAAGCCCTGCTTGGGGTCAGCGCTGTGCGGTGACCCGCTGTCTGCACAGAAGCTGGTTCTGGCTCTCTCATTGATGCGTGTCTGGTGTTTCCGGTCTGGGCTGTTTCCCTGGCGCTGCCCGAGTGTCTCGGTGCCCATGGGTGTGTGCCCTACCTGTTCCTACGGGGAGCAGGATTGCTGGGCCTCAGGCGTGTGTGCACGGGGTTGGCCCGACACTGAGTGGCTTCAAGCTGTCATCTGAAGCGTTCTTTTTCCTCCTCAGTCCTCCTGGCAGGAGTTGGTGCTTCTTGCTGCGTTCCTTGTGAGGATTCACTGGGACGCCTTTAAAGTCCCGTTGGGGCCCAGGAGGCTCTGAACAAGCTCCGGGGTGTGCGTGGGGTGGGCGGAGGGGGTTTCTGGTTTCCAGTTTGGGAAGCGCCTTCCCCTAGCGTAAGCTGCACAGGGAGTCGCTGTTGGCCCCAAGGAGTCAGAGGACTCCAGTGGGAGGGGAGGGCGGAGTGGAGTCAGGCTTGGCCCGAAGCGTGCGTCAGGCCCAGCCACGGCCCGGCCGCCTGCCCTCTGGGTCACAGGAGGCCTTTCTGCAACAGGGTCCACGAATGCTGGCACCGTGAGCACACGCGACAGGCGCCCTGGTGCATTTAAGTTATAAATGAGCCCATCATCATCACAGAGCACGAACCTCACACAGGCAAGGACTTCCTTCGAGGCCTGCTAGGGAAGCACTGTGTGCCCTGCAGGGAGAAGTCACTTTCGCAGCCATTTAAAGCCCTGTAGGATGTGCGAGGCAGGGCAGTGGCTTTGTGCTCCAGTGATGAAAAGCAGACACTGAATTGGCCCCAGCTGCCCTGCCCAGGGGGTCTAGGGAGGGTGGGGTAGGCCTCAGGCCACAGCCCTGGGGCCTCCAACCTGCCTTCTGTGTCCACAGTCTGTACACCCAGCAAGCAGTGCAGGCCATCGCAGAGGAGGCCTGGCCTGGGCCTCCACCTCCAGGAACGGCCTGCACTCCAGCGCCGGCATCAGGCACGAGAGGGCCTCCCTAAGTCAATCTCAAGAGGTGTGCATGCTCCCTGAGACCCCCCGGGGGTGCCGGGACGCTTCCTGGGGCTGTCAGGAGGGTGTGGCCGGGCCGCAGGCTGGTTACACGGTGTTACACTGCCCTCTCCTGGGCGGCTGCCTGACTCTGCTCCCTGTGTGCGGGCTGGAAAGATTGTTAAACCCTGCAGGCTTTTTGGAGTGAGGCAAAGAAGGCGGCACACACCTGGCCCTGGCCCGCACTGGGTGGCAGGTGCTGGAAGGAGGTGCTCCCGACCCCGAGCTCTGTAGGCACCTTTGAACTTTGGTTCCACCTTCTCTTTTCCTCAGTTTTTCAGCTTCCTACAAGATCCCTGGCTCTAGCAGCCCCAAAGCCAGTGGGGTTTTATTTTTACTTCCTGTTTCTTCATGTCATGCTTCAGGAGTCAGCTCCCAAAAAGCACACCCTAGTCACTAGATTCTGCGCAAAAAAAGACCGTGGCTGAGGACCTGCAGGATCTGTTTCCCCCGAGTCAGAGAGGTTCTGTTTGGCACAAATGTTTTCTTCTGTGATGTCGCTGTTGCTCAAGCTTCATTCTGTGAAACTGTTTCCGAGTTTAGCAGACGGCTCCACATCACAGGTGACCCGCGCAGGCAGTGCCATGCTCTGTCCATGCTCTGACACCTGGGAGGGCCGTTACCGCCTTTCAGAGCGTTTTCTGTTCTTGCCTTATTCTTCCAAGTGAATTTAGACAGTCTCACAGATTGGGACAGGGCACTTTTAAACATCCCTTATGTTTTAGATGTCTTTACCTTCAGTCTTATTAAAAATCTCCAACACAGGCCGGTCGCAGTGGCTCACACCTGTAGTCCCAGCACATTAGGAGGCCAAGGTGGAAGGATCACTTGAGCTCAGGAGTTCGAGACCAGCCTGGGCAACATAGCAAGTCCCCATCTCTACCTAAAATAATTTTAAAAAGACCAATTCCAAGCCCTCCATAAGCCTCTTTATCTTTCTCACAGAACGATGCCAACGGGACTGCGAAGCCGCCTTTTCTCAGGTAGGTGTGGCCTCCTGCGTGAGCCTCAGCATGTGACATTGCTCTTCCCCACGGTGTCCCCAGAAGGGCCTTCGGTGCTGTGCCCAGGAGGCCCAGCCTGAGAAAGGCCTCGGCCTGTGGAGCCATGGGGGACTGCAGCCCCCTGCTCCCTTTACCACCTGCTTTAGACCACCCTGGGAGCAGGGCCTGCCACCCCAGAGCGGCCCCCATATCACACGCAATGCAGGACTACAGAGGTGTGGGTGCCCATGTCCAGAACGTTTAAAACCTGGGATCATTCTGCAGCGGGTGGTACGGTGTAGGACTCATCACTGAACAAAACTTCCACTCAGAAATCGCTGCTGGGACCTGTGCAAGCTGGTGAGGTGGTCAGCCGCAGTCTCACAGGGCAAGAATGGGTTATTAGCGCTGTTAAAATCCAGTTTCCCTCATGGAGTGGAAGTTCTGAAAGGTTTTTCTTATCCCCTGCAGCGGAGAAAACCCCTTTGCCACTGTGAAACTCCGCCCCACCGTGACGAACGACCGCTCAGCACCCATCATTCGATGAGAAGACGGCCAAGGACTCTCCGGGCCTCTCCGGTTCTCCCTCGCGGAATGATGGGCACGTCCTAACTCTAATGTCGCCTGCCTAAGCAAAGCATGCTTCTCTGTTTCACGTAGTTGGGTTGACACGTTTCTGCCTTTAAGATAAATGAGTAATAGTCTAATGACCAACTCAGTCATTTAAAATATTTTCTTCCTATTCTGTTCAAGAAACAGTAAAACTTGGTTTCAATCTTTACTGTATTTTTTTAAATGAATTTTTTTTCCTTAACAGCCAGAATAAGGGATAGTCTGTGCTTTCATGACTGGCTTTCTGCACCTGATGTCAATGAGACCCATTTTATTTTATAAAGCACGTGCTCTTAGTAGCATTATGTCTAAAGAAAATATCACGGAAGTTTGCATCTTAGCATGCAAATCATAATTTTAAGCAATATAAATTATGAAAATACTATATGAATGTAACTTAACTTAAAATGTTTAATCAAAGTGTAGAGCTTCCAGAGATGGAGAAACCCCTGCCCTCCGTCCGACTGCACCAGAGCTGTAAGTGCTAAGACGCTTTGCCTGCCCTTATCACAGCCACATGTAGCACTTGACGAAATCCCTTCCGAGAGCTCCTTTTCTTGGTAGTTAGGAGTCACTGACTGGAGTCGCTGCACACAGCCCATCCAGGACACAGGCCTGGGCGTCGGAGTCACAGCTCCTTGTGTTCTCACTCTGCTAGCTGGCCAAAGCTGCATCCATTACCAATACACTCAAACTTCTCGGGGTCTCGGTTTCTCCGTGTTTGAATCGGGTACAGACTCTCGAGGATACGTGTAAAGCCAGGATGACCTCTGGTGCCTGGAGAGGGTGGGTTTTTCAGCCTAGCAGCCATGATGCCCTCAGAACCTGGCCCTGTGGTACAGATGTGAGGACTGCGCACTGGCTGCCCTAAGGCCGGGGCTGGAATTCACCTCTGACTGCCAAAGATCTGGATCCAATTCCCAGCCCGGCCCAGGTATGGGGGAATCCCAGCATTTTGTGAGACTGAGGCAGGCACATCACCTGAGGTCAGGAGTCTCTACTAAAAATACAAAAATTAGACAGGCATGGTGGTGCGTGCCTGTGATCCCAGCCACTCAGAAGCCTGAGGCAGGAGAATCGCTTGAACCCGGGAGGCAGAGGTTGCAGTGAGCCAGATCATGCCACTGCCCTGCAGCCCGGGTGACAGATTTCCAGCCCAGCCGCTCTGTGTGTGTTGTGGGGTGCTGGGGCTGTGGCTTATCACCTCTCCTTTGGCCTTGCCTTAAGTGTACTACTTTCCTGTGAGGCTGAGACTGGGAGAGGTTACATGCAGGTAAGCCAGTGGACGTGGGCGATGCTTCAGGCTCCTTCCAGCCAGGTCCAGCAGTGTCACCATCTGCTTCTGCTTCTGCTGGGAGGACAAACCAGACGCACGCCCCCCACCCCGCCCCCAGGAAGGGCTGCAGGCACCATGAACTATATGTTAACGCCCCCAGTCTGTCCTACAGAAGGGCCTGCAGCCACGTGAGAATTCAGTCCATGCAAACCCCATGGCCATGTTCCCCACTTCAGACGTCAGAGGCAGGGCTCAGCCCCATCTGGTACCATGGGTGACACCTGGCCTTTGGCGTTCCCCCATGGGGATGGTTCTGGTTTTGTTACGGGGTTGAAGACTAGGACCTGGGGGGTCTCAGATGCAACCTGCAGGCCCCAGGTTCCACCTCCCAGACCAAAACGGGGGGATGACCTTGTCCTTGGCACCGAGGTGCCTGTTCTGTAAATGTCAAGGGATTATAATTTTAATAATAAAGAACTTGAAAACAAGCATATTTTCTTGAGCTGTAAGCGCCTGTTGACTACAAGGTGGTCAGGCCTGGCCTGGGGAGTGAAAAGGCAGCAATGCTGGCATCGTTCCGGTCTCTCCTGGGTGTCTGAAAGCACCGAGTAAGCAGCACCAGGTCAACAATGGTATGAATCTCATTTATTGAAAACATTATTTCTCACCTTTCTCAAATTGAAGACTGCAGAAAATAAAAGCAGTGCTTTATTGAGTTGTCATGAGCCTCGGGCGGGAGCAGCAGCGCTGCCGCTCCACACTCCGGGAAACCGCAGCTGGCGTGTGCCACATCTGTCCCACCTCGCTTTACAAAACAGTTCTGAAGCTTAATCAAATAAAACTATTGTACACAACATTTACATTAGAAAAAGAGCTGGGGTAGGAGAGCCGGGCCTGCTGCTCCTTTAAGCGAAGGTGGCTCCGCAGTTGGGGCATCTTCGCTTCCTCAAGGCAAAACAGCAGATGAACCCAAAGGGGAACAGGATGATGGCCAGGAAGATGCCCAGGAAGGTGAAGCAGTCCTCCAGCACCCCGACCCTGCGGCAGAGACAGGCAGAGAGGGCGGCACCGTTAGGACCCGGGCAGCCAGAACCCTCACCCCTCCCACCCTTGCACTCAACCAAGCAGTGGCCATGACTGACATGAGGACCTCCGGTGAGGGACAGTGACAATCCGCCTGAGAAAACAGCCCCCCCACCGCCCAGCCACAGCCCACTGGCCCGGAGAGCCCCAAGAACCATCTGCATGTGCCAGTTCATAGAATGGCCAGAGCTGCTATTTAATCACTAACATTAAAAGAAAAGGGGAAGAATAAAACAGTTGAAAAGTCTTATCAGTTAACCTTGAAAGGCAAGGCTGGGTGCATGGTGGCTCCTGCCTGTAATCCCACCACTCTGGGAGGCAGAGGCGGGTGGATCACCTGAGTTCAGGAGTTCAAGACCAGCCTGGCCAACATGGTGAAACCCTGTCTCTACTAACAATACAAAAATTTGCCAGGCGTGGTGGCATGTGCCTGCAGTCCCGGCTACTTGGGAGGCTGAGACAAAGAGAATCACTTGAATCCAGGAGGCAGAGGTTGCAGTGAGCCAAGATAGAGCCACTATACTCCAGACTGGGTGACAGAGCGAGACTCCATCTCAAAAAGTAAAACCTTGAGAGGCAAGATCATTTTAGTGCCACAAGCCACACATATCTGCTCTTAGAAAAGGAGCAACCAGAGGCCGGGCACGGTGGCTCACACTTGTAATCCCACCACTTTGGGAGGCCAAGGCAGGTGGATCACGAGGTCAGGAGATCAAGACCATCCTGGCTAACACAGTGAAACACTGCCTCTACTAAAAATACAAAAATTAGGCTAGGCACGGTGGCTCAAGCCTGTAATCCCAGCACTTTGGGAGGCCAAGACGGGCGGATCACGAGGTCAGGAGATCAAGACCATCCTGGCTAACACGGTGAAACCCCGTCTCTACTAAAAAAAAAAAAATACAAAAAACTAGCCGGGCGAGGTGGCGGGCGCCTGTAGTCCCAGCTACTGGGGAAGCTGAGGCAGGAGAATGGCGTAAACCCGGGAGGTGGAGCTTGCAGTGAGCTGAGATCCGGCCACTGCACTCCAGCCTGGGCAACAGAGCGAGACTCTGTCTCAAAAAAAAAAAAAAATTAGGCATTGGGGCAGGCGCCTGTAGTCCCAGCTACTCAGGAGGCTGAGGCAGGAGAACGACATGAATCCGGGAGGCAGAGCTTGCAGTGAGCTGAGATCGCGCCACCGCACTCCAGCCTGGGCGACAGAGCAAGACTCCGTCTCAAAAAAAAAAAAAAGAAAAGGAGCAACCAGCAAGCTTAGTGGTCCCGTCAGTGTTTGGGCTTTTGTTGGATTTCTGTTCCTTTGGTAGTGGGGGTGGGTTAATGGGAAACTGCAGTCGGCCATGTTCACACAATGTCTGAAGAAATAATGTCTTATTTCTCAAAATGTGATCTCAAAGTCTCCTCTTCAACAAAGTTCAATGTAACAGACTAAGACACCTAAAGGCCATCCCACAAATCCTGCACCAGTGAGCACAGGTTCAGTGACCTGCAATCATCGAACCCAAGTGTCAGTTTCAGAGGCCCTAAAAGTAGGAAGCCAGAAGCCGAGTGCTCAGCTCAGCTCCTTAGGCTATTTCTGGAAAGTTCTGGACACAGCTGAAATTAACCACACTAGCCAGCTCAGCACAAATGAGAAAAGTTTTGCTCCCACCAGACAGGCAGCCCCCTACGGGCTCCTTCTGGTCCTCCTGGGGCCCCAAACCCCTCCATCCAGCCGGTACTGAAGTAAGTGGAGAGAGAACACAACAGGGTGGGGGTGTCTGACAGGTGATGGGAGCTGGTGCTTAGTGGGGAAGGGGAGCCTACAAGGTGGTGTGGTCGCCCGCCTGCAACAGGGAAGCGTGACTACCTGTGCCTTGCTAAGGGAAGAAAACTTGGCCACCTGGGGAACCCTACTCCCATCCCAGCACCCTGCATGTTTCCAAGCTGCTTTCTGGGAGTTTGGACTCATGAGGGCCACTGCCTCCACCACTGCTAGGCAAGGCAGGCTGGGGAGCCCAAACCCCACCCACAGAACCTATTCCCTACTTCTCCCGGGATTATGGAAAATAAACCAGAATATTCTGAAGTTGGGCTTTCCACTGCTGAAAGAAAAAGTTGCCGGGCACGGTGGTCCACGCCTGTCATCCCAACACTTTGGGAGGCCGAGGCAGGCAGATCACCTGAGGTCAGAAGTTCAAGACCAGCCTGGTCAACATGGTGAAACCACGTTTCTACTAAAAATACAAAAATTAGCCAGGCATAGTGGCGGGCACCTGTAATCCCAGCTACTCGGGAGGCTGAGACAGAACTGCTTGAACCCGGGAGGTGGAGGTTGCAGTGAGCCGAGATTGCACCACTGCACTCCAGCCTTTGCAACAAGAGCAAAACTGTCTCAAAAAAGAAAAACACTTCATGCCCACCTGCCTCCCTCCGGCCTCCTCAGGGAGGTCCCTTCAGCCATCTCCAATGGAGCTGGACACGGTGGCTCACGCCTGCAACTGCAGCACTTTGGGAGGCTGAGGCGGATCACTTAAAGCCAGCAGTTCACAACCAGCCTGGGCAACAAAGTAAAACCCCCCTGCAACACCTCTACAATTTAAAAGTAGCCAGTCACGATGGTACACATTTGGAAAAGGGGGACCATTCAGCCGGTTTGGGGAAACTTTTCTCCTAGAGTCCCTGTGTTCATTCGTTCTCAAAAGGCTCTGAGCAGTCCTGCGGCCAGCCCTCTTGTACCCAGTGTTTCCCAGACTCACGCAGCGCCACCTGTCTGTGTGGAGGGGCAGAGCTGGGCTGCAGAGCACACCGTGAAGCTCCAAGGCAAAGCCAAGCCAAAGACCGGAGCCTGTCAGCAAAGTTTCTACTTCTTGCGTGGACTTTTACAAAAGTGTCCCCTGTCTAAGCACCACAAGGTCGTCACGCCACCACACTTGTTCAGCCTTGTCCAGGGCTGCCCCTGCCAGTCCAGACTGGGCAGGACACCTCCGCCCAGCCCTGCCGAGTGCAGCTTGCCCTGCCCGGCTCCAGGACCTTCTCCCCGGGGTGTCGGGTGGGCAAAAGCCCCAGCTGCCACAGCTCCCAAGACCACACAGTCGAGATGGGGGAGCCCCGGGAAGGCCGAGCACCAGCTGTGTCCCCACAGATGGCCATGACAGGCTCCGGGGGAGCTGGAGGGAGCGTCTGGGCTTCCTTTCCTGTTTCCTTCACGGCATCTACGGTCAAATCCCAGGAAACACACTGGCTGTATATTCTGGTTAGACAATGTCCCATGAAAAAGCAGACAGGGAGGGTGAACCAGCTGAGAAATCCTTCCAGGGAAGAAGCCTGCCCCCTGGCGTGGTCCCCAGTGCCACCAGGCCCCCCTCAGCCGGCCCAATCAGTGACCATCTGAGCACCTCGCCTCAGGACCAAAGCTGCTGAGAGGCAGGGCTGCGGGCAGAGCCGACTGCCAGTTCAAAGGCCCAGAGGTGCCTGGGAGGAGGCTGGGCAAAGGGGTGTGGGTGGGGAGCCCGGCTGGAGCCCGCCCATGGGGCACAGCAGAGACATCCAGGTGCAATGGTGCAATGGGCGGGGGTGGGGCTTCAGTGCTGCCTGGTGGCCCCGCCCACACCAGCTTCCCACCTGCAGCTGCTGCTCTCACCAAGTCCAAGGGCAGCAGCGCCCTCCTGCTTCCTAATTCTCCATCCAGACCCCAAAACCCACCTACTCCGTCAGAGCTGAGAAGTGCAGGAAGGCTGCTCACTCACGTTGGATTCCCACTGCCACGGGCCAGGGCGCTGGCCCACCTGAGCGCCAGGATTTCCAGCAGCGCCAGCCCAGCCCACCCAGGCCCCGGCGCCTCGCTTCTCAGCACCTCGATTCCCAGCCCCGGGGCTGCAAGCAGCGCCATGGGCCAAACCAAACGCACTGACCCCACGGCCTCCCAGGCACAGGGAAACACCCTCCTCCTTCCAACCCACGGAGCTTCCGTCCAGACCCATCCTGTCCTCAGCCAGAGCACAGGGCTGGCCCCTTTGTGCCACCCTGGGCTGAGCCCCTCAGTCTGGGGACCCACTCTGGCACCTCCTAGGGCAGCCTCCCCATCCCTGGTCCATTCAATCCCACCCGCCTGCCCGCCTCCACGCCACTTAAAGACAGGGCAGGAGGGCCAAGGCCCCTGGGTCTCTGGGGAGAGCGAGCCTGTTTCCCTGCAGTACCGCCCAGGAACTGGACAGATCCAGCCGCCCCAGGAGGCTCAGGCCTCCGCCAGCAACAGGAGGCTGTGATCCAGACCCGAGAACCCTGAACAGGCTTCGAAGGCCCGAGGGCTGGCCAGGAGAATTCGGCCCTCACCTCTGGCTCTGGGGTCAGCTGGAGGGTGGGCAGCATACCCTACCCCCCAGGATTCCACAGCCGCACCCACAACTTCAAACACCAAGAGGCACTGAAGGCAGAACTCGCTGTCACTTGACAGCAAACTCACCTGGCAGCAACATGTGACCTAAACTGGTGTGTGGCTATTTATAGTCGTAATTTATCCTAGTTTATCTGAATATTCATGTCTTGCTGCAGAAATATTAAAGTTTTAACTGCAGTACTGCCCTAGACCTCAAAAGGCGTGTTGGCATCATGTGCTTTTTAAAACCCCAAATCTTCTGAACTGAGAAACACGATCCAACTTCTAGGCCAAGACTCCCCAAGCTGCAGGGCCAGCACTGGAGGGGAGAAGGGGAACCCCCACACCGGAACAGCTGCCGTCCCTGCCAGCCTGTCCGTCCCCACGGCCTCCAGTTCTCCCTTCCAAACCCAGAAGAGCCCACCTGGGTTGGTGGGGTGGGTTTCAACCTTCTCAACCGCTCGGGTCCTGACCGGCTCCCTCTAGCGGCCCCTCTTGCGCAATAGGCCACGCGGCCAGGGAGGGATCATGGCCACTGGCGAAATTAGGGAACTGACTAATTCCAAGAGCACTCCCTTAAGGCGACTCCAGCCCTGCAGTGAAAGTGGCCAGTCATGCCACTGTCATCCACCCGGAGCTGGGCCCTGGGACAGTGGAGGCCACAGGGCTCCCGCCTCACCAGGGACAGAAGGGGCTGGCAGCAGGGCTCTGAGCTGCCCAGGGAAAGGGCCATCCTCACCCTTCCTGTATCCCCACAGGCACTTTACAGGAGCCTGAAGCCCAGGGTGTGTCCAGGGCCTCCCAGCAGGGAAGGGCGTGGCTGGGATGTGAACCCAGATGGGCTCACAGGAGGCTAAAAACCGGGGTGTGTCCAAGGCTTCCCAGCAGGGAAGGGCGTGGCTGGGATCTGAACCCGGATGGGCTCCCCAGTCACAAGCACCCATCCTGCAGGCCCGTTCTCCCTCCAAGGCAGCCCCCAAAGGCAGGCAGTGTCACAGGGGGCTGCCCCAGGGCACCCAGCTGCCCTCTGTGCATACACAGTGGCCTCGAGGCACCATCCACGCCCAGGAACAACCCCAGACCACCGCACCTCGCTGGAAGGCCGAGCTCGCCAGGAAAAGGGGAGACACAGGGCTTCCTCAGAGGGCTGCGGGCCTGAAGCCATGCTCAGCGCAGGGCGAGGTGGCCCCAAAGCAGCTCCAGCCAGCTTCTGGCTGTCCCAGGGTATCCACTCCCCCTACAGGGGTGGGGGAGCTGCCTCGCTTAGGGACAGTTCACCAGGACCTCCCAGGGCCATTCCCAGCAAACCCAATGGCCAGGGCCAGTCCCAGCCTCTCCTGTGGAAGAAAGGCCTGAGACTCTGCCTGCCACCACACCCACCCCAGCGGTGCCACTTGGCCCGCAGCTGGGGGCAAAGCCCAAGGTTAGAAACTCAGGAGGCCGCTGAGGCAGCACTCGGACCCTGAGGTCCACAACCCTGCCCAGCAAGCAGCCTAGGCCCAAGCTCCAGCCCATCCGCTGCCCCCACACCTCAGGCCAAGACTGTCAGGACAGGGACAGCCCATAGGCCACGCATATGGGCAGAGCCGTCCCAGCTAACTCAGCTACTTCCTCAACCAGGGGAGCGCTGGCTTCCAGGTCACAGGCGGTAGGAGGGACCAGCCCCTCCACCACCATCATCTGGAAGCCCAAGGATGTCACAGGCTCCTTCCCCTCCAGCCCTTCCCAGGCTCCACAGTCACCCCCCCCGTGCCCTCCACAGCCCACCTCTGCCCCTCAAGGGCCGTGGCAACCTCCATGCTGGCTACTGAGCCGCACCCTGGACCTCTAAGCAACATCCGCCCTCCACAGCTGTTCCTTTCACCGTCCCTAGAAAAGGTGAAATCCTTTTCAGGACTTCCTCTCTGGTCACCCCCAAAACTAAGTACCCAATGACAGCCCAGCCATACTCATGGGGGACTGGTGCGGGCCAGGCCCTGTGTTGCCAGGGCCTTCCCCACTCCTGCGTTCCTGGTTTTCAGGGCACAGGCTCTGCTCCAGCCCAGGAGAGCCTCCCAGTGCAGCCACCTCATCCTGCACCTAGGTATAACCACACCCCAGCAGAGAAAGACTGGCCTCCCTCGGCAGAGAGGCCCAGGCCTTGGGCAGGGCAGGGCAGGGCAGGGCAGGCGTGAAGCAGGAGGGCAGGAGGAACAGGGGCATATCCACCGCTGGGCTGCGGAAATGCTTCCTCATAAACGGCTAAAAAGGGCAGACGGAGTCAGGAAGCTTCAGCAAAGGCCTGGCCAGGGCAGCAGTGCCACAAGGGACATAGGCTTCTCTGGCCAAGCCTCACTCAGAAGGACTAACAGACGTGTGACTTGGACAAATTCCTGCCATGCCACCAGGCAGGGAGGGGGACAGAGCCCGGTGGGCTGGACCTGGGGCAGGAGGAAGTGTGGTCACGTGAGCGGTATCCTGTCTCCCGGCCCCAAGACGGCAGGCGGCGGCCAGACGACCAGACATGTGTGTCTCCACTCTCCTCGTAGAAAGGAGTGGCTCAGGGACCACACACCCCCTCCCGACACCAGCAGCAGAGCACCCAGCCCCCTGCTCGCCCTCTGGCTGCGGCAGGGCACAGGGGCCCATCCCATGCCCAATGCTGCTGCAGGGGCCAAGCCTCGGGGAGCGGTGGCCACTCTCCAGCATCCAGGGCACCACAGGCAGAGTGCAGGGACTTGTGTGCTGGGAGGGCCTGGCTGCAACCCAAGGGGTCGCCAGAGGATCAGAGTGCTCTGGTCCCAACTTAAAGGACTAAGGACCCCCCAACCTTGTCCAGAGAGGATCCAGCCTCCACCCTGCCTGGTGCAGCTGCCCAAGGGCAGAGAGCACAGTGATCAAGTAACTGAGGACCCCACTCCTGTAGCCTCTGGGGGCCAAGCCCAAGATCCTCCACAGCAGAGCAGAGCACAGCCTGACCCCACTCCAGGTTCTGCATAGCTGGGGGGCACCGCCGGGTCAGCGGAAGCCACGGGCCTCCACAGGGACACAGCTCCCACCTAGGGAAGGGGAAGTGGCAGGGCCAGCACCCCCATACCGACAGCAACTGCGCCGCCACCTGGGCGCCCCCCCAGCCCTGGGATATCTGGGCCATCCCTCGCTGCCGCTGGTCTCCCACATCTCCAAGTTCAGGGGCTTGGGCAGAGAAGAGCTAAGAGCTTCAGAGACACCTCACCAGGCACCCCCATGTCCCAGACGGGGAAACAGGCCCCCCTGTTCCTGGCAGGACCAGGACTGGAATCCAGCTCCTCCGGCAGGCTGGACACTGGGATGGCAAGGCATGGACAATGACACGCAGGCAGACCCTCTGCTCCTCCATGTTCTGAGTCCCCTCCATGTGCCTTCACACCCACAGAGCTCTGCCAGCACCCTCAACCCGGTGCAGCTCCCAGAGAAAACTATGTCCCGGAGGCAGCCAGCGCCCCGCCCTGCCCTCCCCTCCACCTTCACTCCAAAGGCCAATGTTTCTGCTGGGTGGTGACCAACTGTGTCAAACTGACGTCCCAGTTAGGGTTTGTCACGGGGTCCCTATGCAGGCAAGCGGCCACAACCTCCCCCGGGGTCCCAGCCTCTTGTCCCCACCTCTGGGATGCCCTCCCTCTTCCCAGGAAGTTGCCTGCTAAGGCTCTGAAATCATTCACTTCCCCATGACTCTGCTCTAGGCCTTACACACACACTTTTGAAATCAAGTATAAGTCCAAACCAGGGTTTCTTAATTCCATCTCAGCGGCTTCAACTTCCTCCTCCCAGATACAGCTGAAAACCCTGTCCCCGCCAACTCTGCCCCTACTTTCTAGGCAATCTGAACACCCCCAGCTGCCAAGGATTTATATTTAATTAATCCTTATTTAAATTTGAATCCTCAAAACCTCCACAAAACAATCCTCTAGCTGCACCTCAGGGTCCTATGAAAACCAGAAAGCCTGTGCAGGTCCAATGCGAGGATATCAAAAAAATCACTCCTGCCTCAAAGAACCACCGGGCTTCCATCCTGGTCCAGCTCGTGAAAGGGCGTTTCAAGCCAGCTTTGGCTAAAGCAGCTCTTACAGCCGTCGCTTCTCCCACTGAGGTCTCTCCTGCTGGTGCACTTACTTCCAAATGCCCCTTCCGGGAAAACGAAACCTTCCACCACCTTCGATGATCGACTGCAGAGTAAACTTGTGGAAATTGAAGAAAAATGCAGACACCTGATTCCTTGCAAGTCCCAGAACAAAGACGAAAAGACCACGAGTTCCGTTGTTACCTTTTCTACATCCCAATCACTTGGGGTGCAATACCCCAAAATCTAGGAAAAGGAATCCACCCTTTTGCCCCCACAAAATGTGTTCAGAGCCAATGGTGAGTGGACCCACGCTCTCCCACACCGCATACGGGCAGCCTGTCTGTTCCTCCCATAAAGGGCTCTCATCAAGATCCAAGTCAAGCCGGACCCACTCCCACAAGCAGAGCTGACTTTGTGAAGTCCTGGGGGGTAGGGCGGGGGTCCTCAGCGTTTCCAGGGCCAGTCCCCAGGCTGCAGACCCACTCACCTGCAGACAGGACAGCCTCCCACGACCACGATAGAGTTGGCAGGGTACCGGGTGACGGTCCGGCTGTGGATGTTGTAGACCCTGGGATGGTGAGTGGGTATCCCTGTGGGGGGGAAGACAAGTCATTAGGGTGCAGGGAGGAGAAATCGGACCGCGATGGGGACTACTCATTCCGTACCCCCACCTCCACCCCGCTAAAAAAGCCCCCGGTCTTTTCCACCCTCGGGACGGCCACCGCGGGCCTGATTCGGCGCTAATCTGCCAACAGCGAGCGCCTCGTGACACAAAGTTCATCTGGGGCAGGAATCCGGCCCCGCCGTGTACGACGGGCCCGAGGACGAGAGTCCCGGGGAGGAGGCTGGCCCTCGGCGACGCGGGGTCCCGAAGCCGGCCCGGGGACCTCCAGCTCCAGGAAGGACCCCCGGGCGGGCCCCGCCGGCCTCCGGACCCGCGTCCCCCGCACGGGCTTGCCCCCTCGAAGCCGATGGCGAGGAAAGTTGGTTCCGGGCCCACCTGTGACGAGGTAGGGGTAGGGCGGCGGCGGGGGCGCGGCGGGGATGGCGCCGTAGCCGTGCGGGCCGCACGCGTAGTCGCCCTGGCCGGCCTCCAGGTTGTAGGCGGGCGGCCGCTCCTGCAGCAGGGGCTTATGGTCCATGGCGGCCCGGCCGCGCCCGCCGCTCCGGCCCGGCTCGGCTCGGTCGGCCCCGGCGGGGGACGCGGCGGCGGCGGCGGGGACGCGGCAGTCCGGGTGGCTCGGGTCCCTCTGAGGCAGACGCGGGGCGGGGCGGGGCGGGCGCGCGCCGCGGGCTTCCCCCGCCCTCTCCGACTCAGTCACAAGACCGGGGTCACGTGGGCGACGGGAGGCGGGGCGCGAGGGCGGGGCCGGCGGGGCGTCTTAAAGGGGCCGCGCCCTCCCGAAGCCGCCTGCCAGCTGCGCCCTGCGCTCCGCCCCGCCCCCCCCGCTGCGGCTCTCAGCTCTCCCGTGGAGGGGAGATTTCCCCTCCCCCACCACGACCCGGAGAAGCCCCATAGGGTCGTGACCTTTAGGGCCCGCGGATGCACCCCCACCTCCCGCTACGCCCCCATCTTCCAAGCCGGCCGAGGTCCCCTCACTCGTGGAGGAGGGGGAGGGCGGGGCCTGAGAAGGGGCGGGGCCGGGTGGGTCTCAGGCCGCCCCAACCCCAGCCCTCTGCCCGCGCGATCGCCAGCGCTCCCAGCAATGGAAAGGGTACACCCAGGCGTGCACCCCAGCTGCGGCCTGTGCGGTGCTCAGCTGCGGCGCATTCCCTCCCTTTGCCTTTTTTTGGACAATTAGGTGTTACAGGGGTAGTGGCCAGTGCTTACAAATAACTCCCCCGTTTGGGGACAAAACCATAAATACTGGGCACCTGCCGCGTCTCCTCAGTTTCCCTAATCTTCAGGCAGCCCTGCCAGGTGTTCTGCTTACCCTCTGGAGGACAACACGGGACCGGGATCAGAAGGGGGAGGGGTTTGGCCGTGGCAGGTGCGGGTCAGAGCCCGTATCTAAACCTGGGTGTTTTCTGGCCTCGGGGACAGCGTCAGGCGCCCTCGCTGAAACATTTCCTCATACAGGGTTTCACGGGTTTGCCAGAACAACTTTAAAACGAACGATTGGAACGTTTAGGATTCCTTGCGTCCTTAGCGCCTCTGCACCTTTTCAGGGGCACCTGTAGCTGTTACTGTATTCTGTCTCCAGTTTTCTCACCTGCATTTTGATCTCACCTGCACTGTAGCTCTGGGACGACTACAGCTCTTCTCGAACCACGCCTTTTTAATTTTTAAAAAATTTTTTGTAGGGAGGGCCGGGGGTGGGGGCTCTCTTGCTCTGTCACCAGGCTGCGTGAAGTGACACAATCATTGCTCAATGCAGCCTTGACCTCCTGGGCTCAAGTCATCATCCCACCTCAGCCTCCTCAGTAGCTGGGACCACAGGCACACGCCACCATGCCCAGCTAAGTTTTAAAAATTTTTATATAGGATCTTGCTATGTTGCCCAGGCCAGTCTCAAACTCCTGACCTCAAGCAATCCTTTTGCCTTGGCCCCCCAAAGTGCTGGGATTACAGGTGTGAGCCCCTGCACCTGGCCTTTTTATTTTTTAATAAGGAATCATCATATATATATATATATATATATATATATATATATATTTTTTTTTTTTTTTTTTTTTAAACAGAGTCTCACTCTATGGCCCAGGCTGGAGTGCAGTGATGCAACCCTAGCTCACTACAGCGTCAACATCCTGGGCTCAAGTGATCCTCCCACCTCAGCCTCCTAAGTAGCTGGGGACTACAGGTGCACGCCACGGTGCTCGGCTAATTTTTTTATATTTTGTAGAGATGCGGTGTTGCTATGTTTCCCAGGCTGGTCTCAAACTCCTGGGTTCAAGTGATCCTCCCGCCTCAACCTCCCAAGATGCTGGGATTATAGGCATGAGCCACCATGCCCACCTGACCATCATATTTCTTTATCACAAGTCCAGCTCTTCGAAGCCCATTCCCATTTTGTACGTCCTGTCCTAGTCATCATCCCCACAATCCTCGAAAGAGGAACTGAGAGGTGGTCCAGGTACACTAGAAGACTGAGGAGTGGCCCCTGGCACTAACGAACAGCCAGATCAAGAGTGGAGACTGGGCTGGGCGTAGTGGCTGACGCCTGTAATCTCAGCACTTTGGGAGGCTGAGGTGGATGGATCACTTGAGGTCAGGAGTTCGAGACCAGCTGGACAACATGGTGAAACCCTGTCTCTACTAAAAATACAAAAGTTGGCTGGGCATGGTGGGCGGGGGGGTGGTACCTGTAATCCCTCAGGAAGCTGAGGCATAAGGATCACTTGAACCTGGGAGACGGAATTACAGTGAGCCGAGATCGTGCCATTGCACTCCAGCCTGGGCGACAGTGAGGCTCCATCTCAAAAATAAAAAAAAAAGAGTGGAGACTGGCCAGGAGTGGCCAAGGGCTTTGGAGCCAGTAGAGGCCCTGGTAGGCAGTGAGGAGGCCATTGTTCTTGGGGGCAGCTGTCCGGGCACCATAGGGTGACAGCCCCTGGCCAGAGAATACTGAGGTGCAACCTCGTGCCTCATCAACCATGAAGAGATGTGGCTCAGGTCAACCATCCTAACACCTGGTCAACAAGGACCACCTGGATTCTCCTCCCAGCCTTGCAAACTGCTGAAGAGTAGCAGCTGCAGGCCTGGTGATCTCCTTTCCTATCAGATCAACAAAAGCTGGCACATTTTCCTTCAATTTCATGGCTAATTGTCCCTTCACTTCTCTGCATTTCCTGATAAACCCCACAAAATCCACAGCCGCTGGTCCCCTTCTCTTCCAGTAATTGTTTTTGCCCCAGCAATGCCCCTGGTTTGGAGTCTGTGAACGCCGGGGTGTCGTTTTGGGATGTCCCAGCATGGCTTTGACCAGTGCTGCCCTCAGACACAAAGCAGTTCCTGCCCCTTCAAACGTGCAGCATGCAGAAGATGGAACACAGGCTGTGTGTGCAGTGCAAGCCCTGGGGGGCCAAAGAGGACGATGACAGGGACACAAGTAGCAGTCAGATAGGGAGGCAGACAGTAACTGTGGTGAAGGGAGCTTTGTATGGCGAGAGGGGTGGAGGTGCCACACACTGGCTGGTGATGAGCCTGAGTGCCTGGAGAGTTCCAGGACCACAGCCTGGCTGGGAAGGCCAGTGGTGAATCAGCCCCAGGGACCAGTGGCAGAGCATTCCAGGCAGAGTGAACTGTGATCCCAGAGAGTACACAGTGGCCCATTATATGCCAGGGCTTGTCACTGGGTGTGGCCAGAGCCCTGGAAGAGTCTCTAGAAGGTAGAGGTGGGGCTGGCATTGGCATTGGGATAGCATCCTGTAAGAGCTTATTGGGGAACTGCGTAGAGTTTGAACAGGGGAGTGTGAGCATCAGATTTCAGTATTAGAAAAATGTCTTTGAAGGGAGGGGCACAGTAGCTCATATCTGTCATCCCAGCACTTTTGGAGGCCAAGGTGGGAGGATCGCTAGAGGCCAGGAGTCCGAGACCAGCCTGAGCATCATAGCGAGACCCCCGCCCCCCCGCCCATCTCTACGGACAATTTAAAAATTAACTGGATGTGGTGGTGCATGCCTCCAGTCCCAGCTACCCAAGAGGCTGAAGTGGGAGGATCACTTGAGCCCAGGAGTTTGAGGCTGCAGTGAGTCATGATCACACCACTGCCGACAGAATAAAGTGAGGCCACCAATCATATTGGCTGCTATGTGATGACAAATTCGCATGTGCCAGGCTCTGTACACAGCTCTTTATATGGCTGGCATCTCTGCTCATCTGCAGGACCATCCCATGAAAGTGGCCATTCCTTTCCCCCAGGTGCTTGATGAGGAAACTGAGAACTGGACACAGTGGCTCATGCCTGTAATCCCAGCACTTAGGGAGGCCGAGGCGGGCAGATCACTTGAGGCCAGGAGTTCAAGACCAGCCTGGCCAACATGGCGAAACCCCATCTCTACTAAAAATACAAAAATCAGCCGGTGTGGTGGCTCACACCTGTAATCCCAGCTACTCAGGAGGCTGAGGCACGAGATCGCTTGAACCTGGGAGACAGAGGTTGCAGTGAACCGAGATCACGCCACTGCACTCCTGCCTGGGTGACAGCAAGACCCTGTCTCAAAAACAAAAAACGGGTGGCTCACGCCTGTATTCTCAGCACTTTGGGAGGCTGAGGTGGGCTGATCACCTGAGGTCAGGAGTTTGAGACCAGCCTGACCAACATGGAGAAATCCCGTCTCTACTAAAAATACAAAATTAGCTGGGTGTGGTGGTGCATGCCTATAATGCCAGCTACTCAGGAGGCTGAGGCAGGAGAATCGCTTGAACCTGGGAGGCGGAGGTTGTGGTGAGCCGAAATCGTGCCACTGCACTCCAGCCTGGGCAACAAGAGCAAAACTGTGTCTCAGGAAAAAAAAAGAAAAAAAAAAAAGGGCCAGGTGTGGTGGCTCACACCTATAATCACAGCACTTTGGGAGGTTGAGCGGGGCGGATCACTTAAGTCAGGAGTTTGAGACCAGCCCAGCCAACATGGTGAAACCCGGTCTATA